TCCCTCCCTCCTCCCCCAACAGATTTATCAGCTGGAGACAGCTGTGTCAGCTGTCTGTTTAGTCTATGGCTGAATCTTTTCCGAATCGATTCAGACGCTCCGAATCTATTCAGAGCTTTTAATTGGTCTCCCAATTTGAATCGGATTTGGTCCCCAAATTGGGCTGAATCTCCTCCAAATTGAATCAGCTACTGAAGCTTCGCACAGCCCTAGTAAGCAGCACTTCAGTTTCAGAACCATGCCTCATTTCTGCAATACACTTAACAACCAAAAATATCCAGTACTTGATTAATGCCCCACTATTTCTCTAGAAGACAGAACTATCAACTATGATATAGACCAACATACAGATTTCTTTTTATAAAAATGAGGAATTAAAATTACTTAAAAAGAAACAATGCATTAAATTATTCATCAAAAGAATAATCAGTTACCAAGCAGATAAACTACTATCATTATAGTGCAAGCAATTGTACACTTCCAATTCCCACATTTTAAAGTCACCTATAAGAAGTCATGTGGAGCAGGTGTGAAGAAGTGTTTAAAGTACTGGGACTTTAAACTACTACACAGTGATACAGAAGGTAAGAAACCATTTTAATTAATAAAAATAGATGTCTGCATATAAAAAACAGGGCCTGGGAAAAATAAACTGTACAGTGATGTAAGGAATTTTATAGAGGAATAATGTGATGGTAACACTGTGATTCTAGTCATGAAACACATCTGTACATTGTAATCACAGTCTACTATATCCCTTTGTTCAGAATACTAGTTTATATAACTCCACATTAAAACAGTCGAACACCAGAATAAGTAATAAAACATATTGTACAACAAATGCCGTACACTTTTTCAAGACATATCCAATTCATTGACTTGCCAAAGCAATGAAATCCTCCCAGCAGAAAATAAGTTGTAAGGCATTTTAGTTTTACTGATGGCTGTTTTATTAATGAAGAACAAGTAGAAAATATAATGAAGAACAAGGAGAAAATATAATAAGTGGCTTTTAAAATAGTGGAGGAATGTGGGGCAATTATCACAGCCTTGAATTACATGTAAAGGAACGTGACTTCCACTTTACAAAGCCATACCTATCAAACAATGTTACTGACAGTAAAGAGGGTTTACTACTAGAGGTGTGTGAAACAGGCTATATTCGATTTGGATTCGGCCCGAATCAGGGACAGTGATTTGATTCATTGATTTGGATCACTGTCCCCGATTCGATTCGGCCCAATCTGAATCTGAAGATTTGATGCCGATTCAGAGAATCGGCAATTGAACCATAGACACAGCGTTAAATGTTTTTTCTACATATTCAAGGTACCAGGCATGGCTCAGGAATGCTGTGATGCTGGGGTGGATGGAGTCTCCCATTGGAGCGTGGTGGGTGGGGGGCGGGCCCGCATGCTCAGTGGTGAACCCAGAGGTATGTCCGGTCAGCCACGGGGTGGACCCTGGGTGCCCCTCCAGACCCAGAAGGCACCAGTCGCCTAGCCGGCAGGGCCCCCCCACCAGCACACTCCCTGGCAGACCCGGGAATGGACTGGAAGTGTTTCTGGTCCACTTCCAGGTCTGCTGCCCAGCGCTTTCAGGACCCCCCCGCGCTCCTGTGCAACACTCCATCCGCCCCACCATCACAGCATTGACGAGCTGCCTGGTACCTCGAGGTATGTAGAAAAAACACTAAAGCTGTGTCTATGTCCGAATCTCTGAAACAATTTGGAGGGTTCTAATTCGATTCGGAGAGATTAAAGGGTCTCCCGATTCGATTCAGATTTGGAGATTCAGCCACTGAATTGGTTTGAATCTCTGCTGGATGGAATCAGGGACTGAAGCTTCATACAGCCCTAGTAACTACACTACACTAGTGATTTTCAACTCAGGTGAGATCCTTTCAAGGGTGCTGCGGGGTGCCATACAACGTTGGCACTATTTGGTGCGCAAAACACAATTCACAAGATAAACCCAGAGATTTCAAATGGAGGTCTATAGTGGTAAAAACGTTCTGACCTGTTGTGTTTTTGGAGATCTTTGCAACAAAAGAATTGCTCTATTTTGTTTTTGTCAATGAACAAGTGAAAATTAAGAGCTGGCATTTTCTGAGGGGTGCATTAAGACTAATAAAGTTGAGAATCACTACTCCAAAACAAAACAAATCAAATCAAATCAAACCAACCTTTTTGTCTTGCTCAGTTCTAATATAAGAATAACATACATTAAATACATTTAAGAACTGTGTCCTTTGGACAACAAGCTCTCTTCATATCCATACACAATATCAAGTATGCACCTGACACTACTATGGTATTGTCACAGATTTATTGTGCACACATGTGCATTACTTACAAAGAACTATAGTAAAAGATCATTAAGGTTGCAAAGATAAATACAGTATAACTTCATAAATCCAGATATCAAAAATCTGGAATTTCCAAAAATCTGGCACATCAGGGAGTAGTGGTAACCAGTCTCGGAGCAGTGGAGCGGGGAGCTTGCACACAGTGGCTGCCGCCACCATCCACCACCCTGCGCTGCCACTCTGCATGCAGACACTGCTCCAGGACCGGCCGCTGCCCCCTTCGCCCCTCCCTTCCCCCACTCCAGAACCAGCTGCTGCACGATTTCAAAAATCTGGAATTTTTAAATTTGTAGCAAGTGCTCAGTCCCGAGCATGCCAGATTTATGAGGTTATACTGTACTTGAAACCTATGTAGCCTGTGTAATCTTAGATCTACTCCTGTGTACATGTTATGGTAGTCCTGAATTACAGTGACATATAGGACTCCTGCCTCATTCAACTCATGGGATGGACAGTGCTCACTTAATGAGCAGCTGTCCAATAATTTTCTTTTTCCTTATTCAGTGTATAGCACCAGTGACTTATTTGCTGTGTATTACCCATTGCTTTGAAGGCAGCAGTGAAAAAACTGCTTTGAAGGCAGATTAATTTCTTTGGGAGCCATTCTGTGGTGTTCATCACTGTAGCTCTCCCAGTGCTTCACAAACATGAATACATCTTTATAACACTCATGGGCAATGTGGTATTAAATATTCCTATTTTACAGATGAGAAACTAAAGTACAGAGAACTAAGGTAGAAAATACACAATTTTTTGTGCCCAGATTCATGTCTTGGATCTAATTTTGCATAATGCACTTTATATCCTCAAAGTACAGCTACCAGTTGCAGCTTTGAGGGCTCAGCATTTCTGTACATCTCATTCCAAGATCTCAAGCTAAACGTTCAAGAGAGAAAGAGACGCAATCAACATCGTCAGCAGTCCCTCAATACAAGGATAACAAGTCTTCCAGTAGATAAGGAAGACACCAGCAAGTCCGCTGATGACAGGCCGATCCAAGAGCTGTATGTTCGACTGCACACATAGCACACAATCAGTAATTAATTTAAATAACCCAATTAGCAAGAAACTCTGTAGCAGTGGTAAGGGTAGCACTTAAAACACTTAGGATGATGTCATGGCTAAGGCACTTTCTCTTTCTGAACTCCTGTCTCAACTCAAGAGTGGAGCATGTCCAGTATAGACAGGGTCTTCACACTTTCCTCCTAAGGAGTTAAGCTGCTAACACAGCCAAATCTGGTAAGATTTTCATTCTAACAGCAGTCCTTCCGATCACCCAATTTTGAAGATCCTGCTCCACTGCATGAAGACACAAAAGTATTTCAAAGAAAATGGAAGCCATTTTTTTCAATGGGTGCAAGGGAATGTAATGTTTTCCTCTAGCTTTGTCCTTGGAAGTGCCCGATTTCTTAAAATTTCTGCCAAAATAAGTAATCCTTAGGCAGATACTCAACACTGGGCACTGAAAATTTCAGATGTGAAAAAAGTTATAGGATCTTACCATAGAAAATATCAGTCAGCCTTACTGGATGGGGCTCCCAGCCTTACCTATATAAATCTGCAGGTGCACCCTCTCACTCTCTCTTCCCCCCACCCTGCTTCCTCCAGCCCCTTGCATCATGGGGCACCAAGCTGAGCCGAGCCTCCAGGAGCTTCATTGCTTCACTCTCACACACGCATAAAGCATTTCTAACTCTTGTAAATCCTTATGAGTGCTGGTATTTGGGTAGGGACTACAGCCAGCTGCACAATGATGTAGATGCTTTAGCCTTCTAAAGCAAGAATTTTTAGCTTCCTTAGAGGTAAGCCTTGGGTTGGCTTCCTGACAGACTTGCTGCCTCCCCTATCAAAGCAGTAAATCAGACACACCTGGAAATGGGCAGAACTCTCTCCCAGCAATACAACATGGTCCAACAGGAGGTATCAGCTGGCTCTGCTCCCACCCCCACCTCTTTTCCTCATGTGAACAATGGGGATAATTCTTCTGCCCTTCCTTATCATCTTCAATAGTCAGCTAAGACAGGGGTTAAACAGACACCATGAGTGATGCCTTCCCCTAAGCCTAGAGAGACCGAGGAACACTGGGAGGCACAGAACTGATATTAGACAGGGAGACAGTGAAGAATACGCAAAAGTAATGGGCAAGTTGGTGGAACAGGACTTATTTATTGCTGGGAGGGAATGGGAGAGCACCTTCAACTCCAGAGGGTCCAAATCACCTCTTGATACATTTGTGAGAATAGCTAGCTAACCCTAACTCACTCTGTTTCTCTCATTCAAACACATGGGATGGGCAAGGGAATTTTAAAAATAGTATA